GCACGCTTATGCCATCATGGCATATAATGAGGTCGTCAGCAAAGCAGGCGCCCAACACCGAGAGTAGAAGTGATGATACAAGCTCGACAGAGGCTAGTATTAAATTACGAGGTTTCACACCATACCACACGAGTTTGACTTTATAGTGTGAAGTTCACACGCACAAGTATAACTCACCGTTCGCCTCTTTGAAGAAAGCTCACCGATAACCGAGTACTAGGATGCTGAGATAACAAATGCGACAGTATCTCAGCCGTAGCTAGCGTGCTGCTCACGGTTTTCATCACAAAAGAAGATGATGTTCAGGATGAGGTCCACTAGGTACCATGTGATACATTGAATGCGTTCTCTCTACAACACACAATCTGCTTAACAACTTCACGCAGGTTCAAATAGGTAGAAACATGCTCGATCACTGGCTGCTATGGGGCCTCAATAATCTCAACGATGCCGTCTTCAACTCTCAGACATCCATCAACGAGAAGTTGGATCGCCGCGGGGTATGCTTCTCGTTCCGCAACAGCCACCTTATCGCGAACGGCCTCCCAGCTATCCCCAGATGAAATTTCGCAGACCTGAGCGGGAGGCAGATTCTCAACGAGAATGTGAAGAGCGCAAATCGTACGAACAGTAGCTCACAAGTGTACAGGTCGAAACACCCGATGCGAGCGACACATTTGAAAGGTGCTACATCCTCGAGCAGCGGTTAACAGGACTTACCTTCTGCAGTATGATAGGACCAGCATCGTATTCATTGGTGACGAAATGAACTGTGCATCCAGTGACTTTAACGCCGCGCTTAACCACTGCTTGGTGGACGAGATTGCCATACATACCCTCGCCACTGAACGCTGGTATGAGCGATGGGTGTATCTAGTGGAGCACGTATATACTTGTAGTACTTCGTAAAGACACTTGTTGTGTTGGAAAATATGCACATGGCAAACTAAATGTGTTGGTGACAATCTGAAATGCGGGGAATTTCGGGGGGGGGGAGGTTCTAAGTCATTTCTGTACATTTCTACCCGAA